CCCTTTATCCGGAGTCAGAAGTTACCGTCGTGCGATAAGGGGATACTGCTCATGACGACGTACGTCCATCGACTAAACTACTTTTGTGCTATTTATGTCCAGGCCCCCAAACCGCCCTCTCTTCGTCCGTGTGTTCATATATCCATACACCGCATCTCGCGGAGCGCGCCGCACTACTACTACTCCGGCGCCGTACCCCGACTGGACGTGTTACACATATTATATAACGAAAAAAAAATAAAGTTCGAGCTCTGTGACGTAGATCTTTTGAGTATGGGAATTATGGCGTGATCCCGGTCGGGTTTCTCCCCACTCAATGCTAATTAACATATACATGCATAGATCACACCAGACAACTCCGCAAACATATCCAGGAACCTAAGGCACCGGGACTTTTTTTTTTTTTTTTTCATTTATTGGGGGGGGGGGGGGGTTCCCTGAGTACAAACGGGTGGGGATCAGGAAGAGGGTATGGAAGCTGCAGCTGGAGAGGCTAATGAGGATGGCGACGTCGTGTTTGCGAAATGATGAAGATGGGGATGGAGAAAAGTTGATGAGGTCGGAGCGGCAGAAGATGAGGGAGGGTAAATGAAGATGAAGACTGATGTCGAGTTAAAAAGAGACAACAAAACCGCGAGGCAGGAGATGATGAGGCTGAACTAGCTGTGAGCCACACCAACAGGTTAGAGTGAGAAAGAAGTTCCAGAGGTTAGAACCAGACCAAAGCTACCGAAATGGCAAACACCACGCAGCTTCCTGTCACCTGCTTTTCGCCATTTCCCCCCCAAGAAACGGACGGATTTGGATTTCAATGTCAATGCCCTCAATGCCTTCCCAGATAACCCTTCCTGCCTTCCGGTCACGCCTAGTCCCGTTGTAGTATAGCTCCATTTACCCTCCAAGGGAACAAAAGCCGTTTCCGGATCAACATTATTCCACGCACTGGGCGTTTTTCTGCTAGTTAGGCTTCCAGTCTAAACTCTCAGCTGGATCTGCCAGTTAAACTACTCCCCCCCCCTCACAAATTCATTTATCTTTTTCTCCAGCCCGTGATAGGCTGAGAAGGACGGCCTTCACTGTACCACAACGGAAACAACGGAAACAACGGAAACAGGGTACAAGGTGCAGATGGCCAACGCAGCGAGGAGATTTAGCGAGGATGAGAGGAACGAAATGAGGCCAATTGCCATCCCCTAGATCTTCCACGGGGGCAGGGGAGAGGGCGAGAATTTACAGGGCAGAAAGGGATGAAGATGGGTTAAAGTGTCTTTGGCTGCGGGAACTGCTTTATCTATCAAATACATCAGCATTGTAAATGGACGCGGACACGGGACATTTTATTTCTTTAACCACGAGCTTCATACAACACTTACAACGTGAGACACTACCTCCAGTACAGAGCACCGGGGAAGAGAGGGGGGGAAGGAATAAGCTGAATCACTTCCATCCTCCCCTCCCCCCTTCAATTCCCAGCCAAGAGTCACTTACTTTTGCTCCCATTCGTCTTCTTCAGAGGGGGGGCTTGACTTGAAAATCACCCGTCTCACACCGCCTTATTCCGCTGTTTTGTTCCCTGCTTTGGGTCGTTGGGAAGAGAGGAAGGTGTTGGAAAATGAAAGCATGAAAGGCCACACCAGGGATAGGGAGAGGGAGAGGGATAGAGATAGGGATGCTTGTTATGAATCGAACAATTAAGAGGAATTCTCCGTACACCGGAACCAAGATACAATTCAGAGCTTGTCAGTTCTCAGCCACCGACGGAGGATGGACCCTTGGACTTTGCATGTCTTGTGCTGCACACAACTCAGCTTGTCCCGACGTTATGATGGAATAAACACTCAATTGCAAAAGGCAGTCTCGAAACTTTCGTTCAGTATAGCTAGCGACGATCAATTGTTGCCTCCATACATTTTCCATATGACATGTGATCGTTATTCAATGGTTCTTAGACATGCAGTTACACAATAGAGTAGTGAAAAGGATGTTTAAAATGTCTACTTACACACACCTATGCCCTGCAGAATAGATACAGAGATGAGAAAATGGAAAAAAAAAAAACACAAACACAAACCACCTGGTCCCAAATCCGCACTTCCTGCGTCCTGACTCCCGCACCACAACTTCAAAACATCTGGCTGTGCTGCTCAGGTAACAAAGAGCTCTCCAAACCCTCCACCCCAAGGCCCAACAAGTGCCAGGCTTCAAAAAAAAAAAAAAACATCCCTGAAATGTCAACCTTATCTGGTGGATCCAGAACACCACTGCGGGAGAAAAATCAAGGAATTTCATTCTTCCACGAAAATCAAGGAATGACAATCCATGAGATCAGAACCTTAAGTCTAGACTTCACTTCTGTAAATCGGACCACTCGTTAACAGCCAGGGAGGGGGGGGATGGGGGGAAGGAGGACAAATCATTGGGCTGTTCGAGACTTGATGATTTCGATAATAGATAGGTAATGGATTGTTGTTTGAAGATGTTTGGTTTCTCATCTATACTTTGAAGTACCGAATGATGATGTAATTTATATTCTCAAAACTTAAAAACAATTAATTCACACTTTTGGCAACCAACGTTGGTGTGCACGTGCATACTGTTTTCTTTGGTCTGAGATGTGGATAGATAGCTCTAAGGCATATATTTCAATTTATTTCTATGCAAATCTCCTCTTACATGCAGAGGGGGTTCATCCAAAAAAAACTCGCCTCGTAAAAATAAAAAATAAAAAACACCCACGGATCCTTAAAACCATAGTAAATTGAGGGACCAGTTCTCAACCATCCAAATCGACATCACTGAAATTGTTCCGCAAGGAAGTATACAGGGAACATGGAGGGAGAATCTGCTAAGTGTCCATAATAAATTTGAAAACAGCTTTCTTTCTTGGACGAAGCATCTCGGGGAGTAAGCAGAGGCGACAAAATGTGAATGAAACGTAGGGGAGGAGATGTTCGTGTTGGAAAGAGAGTTTGTTGAAAAAATTAAGTGGAGAGAGGTGCGTCAATGATGACGGTGTTGGCGATGATGATGACGATAACAATGCTGAAAACAAACCTCCTAGATAGATAAAAATGCATCGAGAAACTTTGTGGTATGCAGGAGGGCGAAGAAAAAAACACTTCCCGTCCCGCAATCACTGGCTCGCTAGTTTAAATATAAATGTTGAAAATGAAGTGCAGCTTTACAACTGCAATGTCGCTGGCCAGAAGCCAAAACATCACTCAGAAATCAGTACCAAAAAAACATATGAGTCGTCGTAAGATAAAGCAAGTAGATTTGAATATTTAAAGGGAAGGAAAGACGCATCCCTTTTTCTGACAATAAAAGGGTTAGAAAGCCTCAATCATCGCCCCCCTCTCACGTTGAAGGAAAAACCCCCCCTCCTCTAATAGTAACGACTGCTCCGAGCTGCGTTTCGAATAGAGACTGCCCGAAGCTGGGACTGGAACGGAAACAGATACGGGCACGGATAATGCTCCTTCACTGTGTCTTCTTATCTGTGACGTTGGGAAGGTATCAATAGTGGGTTGGGGAGGCGAAAGTGGGAACAACTCGTCTTCCGAGGAGTCATTTTCTGAGTCTTCGAGGAGATCGGGCGGTTGCTGCTGTTGCTGTTGCTGCCGTTGAGAGCGCGACGTCGTCCTTGTAAGAGCCAGTTCACCGTCGTCTGCATCGTCGTCACTTTCTATGGCTTCTTCATCGTCTGCGTAGTGGATTATTTCTCTCGTCGTGATCTTGGGTAGGAATTGATCTCGTTGTCGTTGTTGTTGCTGCTGCTGCTGCTTTGAAGATTTCGAGAGAGAAAGGACGTGCGTGAAAGTAACCTCCTCATCATAATCGTCCGAATCATCGTCATCTTCATCTTCATCGTTCCCATCGCTATCCTCTAACTCTTCATCTGAATGAGACAACCCATCCTCAACTTCCCAGTCCTCCTCCGGCTCTTCCACGACAGCTTCAGCCCACTGAATGTGTCTGCTTCCTTTTGACGCTCTCCTACCGTCATTGGCACCTCGAACAGACTGATGGAACCATCTCTCCTGCTCCCGTTCAGCATCTGCGAGGTCCAGCATAAGGGAATCCAGCATGTTGGCATGGCCCACCAGGATTCGTAGGTCGTGGTCTGGCCGCGATGCTTCCCGGGAGAGCTTTGCTCTAGCGGCGTGGGCGAGGTAGTAAGTTTGTGTCAGGCTCATCTTCCGTTGTTTCTTGGAAGGGCGCTG